GATATTTCCGAGCACATTGGCCATTTCATCGCCTCAGAAGGGATCAACTGAGTGAAGAAGGATTGCCTTATCAATGCGGAAAATTAAGTTTGAGCAGCACAATACTAGAACGTGTACTGGTAATCTATCCCTGAAGTAGTTTATGGATTCTAATAGGTCTCGTAAGAAGGAAAATTCTCTCTGGTTTGGGTAAAACGAGAGACGTGTAAATTTAATAAATTGCCAAATCATTACTGAATGATTTCTGGTTATATCCCATTGTTAAATGCTCCGTAATGTCTTCAAACGCGTGTTTGATTGCAATGAAGTGATTTTATTAACATCGTCGACAGATTCTTAAACGAAAACTTCTAAATTTCATTGAGTTTCTTTTGAATTGTCACTGAGATCTGGTGACTTTCTAGAGGAGCTGGGAGACATGAAATACATCTTGAAATAACATCAAACTGAAGTATCAGCTAATTTTTCTAAATGGATCCTGATCGCCAACAAGCGAATAAATGTGAGGGGTAGACGTGGTGTTTGATTAATGATAACTTCCCCATAGCAGAACATAGTATCCTAAGTAAAGGATACAGAATGTTCAAGAAAGAAGTGTGCCAGTTCAGAGATATGGATCAAATGTGATTCCAGTTTACTAGGTGCTAAAACATTTGGAAGTTGCAAGCAGTATTTAAATTTTAAAAAACTTTATCGTTAAATCGTTATCAGTAGTGCAAAACTGAGAATGAGATCAATTGCGTTGAGATCGATTTAGTTTTGCTCTCTTTTTCAATATATGGACTATATGAACTGAAATGAACGAATTTTCAGGCCCTTAACCGCTTGCTTCTGTCCATGTTGTACCTGCTGCTGTCCATTTAAGAAGCCGGCTCCACCTCCAACCACCCCAAAACCAAAACCTCCTCCCGAACCAACCTGCTGCGGACCCTCGGTTATTTACCTCCCTGTCGGTCCACCAGAAATAATTCAAGTACCAGTCACGACATACATCCAGCGAACAGTAGCAGCACCAGAAATCATTTCCATCACCTCACTGTCTCAACCTGCCCCATCGCCAAAATATATAACAGTTGAAGTTCCACCAAGTCGTGAAATACAAGTAGCTCCAGCACCAGAGCGTCAGATCATAACAATTCCGGCCGGGTCATCGTATAGTATAGGTGGTGGTTCGTCCATGTCAACAGCTCATCTATCACCCAGCTTAATGAAGACACCACCATCATCTGGCTATGCAAAAGGCTCTTATCAAGTTGTTTATGACTTTTTAAAATGAACCATTCCATGTGGGTTTCATTCATTACC